CTCCCCACCCCCCATTGGGAGCTTTCCCTCTTCCCTGCCTGCCTTTGAGTGTCTGCCCAAAGCAAATGATGGTAAATAAATAGCCTCTGTATGTTCTCATTTGGGGGGCAGGGAGGTGTCTTTATTTATTCCCACATTTCTAACAGTTTAGTCTCCTGTGCTCTAAGACAATGCATCATTTAATTCTATCCACCAGAAATCTGCAGATTCACACAGCACAAAATGCTTTGCCACTTGGAAAGGGACACAGCCATTTCATCCAATTCTCTCATAAATTCACTGCAGACATTGAAATGCCAGATTTCAGGAAAGAGGGTCTGTGCTCTCACTCTCGGTTAATTTTAATAAACAATGACTAAGATGTAAATAAGCTGAATTTTTGCCAATTACTTATCACATCAGAATAATTGGCAGACAGAATTATGCTCCTTTATGTTAAAGCATTTCTCCTCAGCATTACTGAATAATGGTTTCCAGCGATTCAAAACTCCACAAAGTAAAGCAAGCCAATTCTTTACAGAGAGAATATTCATGGAAAAGGCAATAAGAGCTTGTAATAACTCTAACACACTGTCCAAAAAGGAAAAAAAGAAAAGAAGTCATCATGGTAGAGCACAGAAAAATAATTCTTTCTCCCTGGTATAATATTTATTTCAAATATAAAATGAATGCCATTTAAAGTTGAAATTGAATAGCCAGAAATGTGTGCTTTTTTTTCCAAATTCTTAAATGATCCACATAGCTCATATTTTATATTTTCAATCATTTTCTAGATATTTATGTGTATATTTAACATAAATGAGAAACAGAATTCATAGCCTTATAAAGTAAAACAAAAATTAAATTTACCTGTCTTTATAGTTTAAATCATAAGACTGTTTTTAATTGGATTAATGATTTATTCTGCTTGAGGAAAGTAAAGTAGAAGGGTTTATACCTACAAAGTTGAATAAGACTTTTAAAAGCCGGTGTGTGAACACTATTTTTTGGCATGACGGAATCTTACTTTATTCCTCACAGCACACAGAATGATCACATTCTACATAATGGAGCTAGGAAAGATTATTTCTTTTAAAGGTTGCTCACAGTGAAAAATAATTAAACCCTGACAGTGCCTGCAAATGTCAAAATACAAATTTCCTCCAGTGATCACTTTTTAACCACCAGGGTAAAAAGGAAAAAAAATACAAAATTTACCAGTATTTCTTATTCCCTTGGCTGTGTGGGCTAAAACATTTAAATTGTCATTGTTGTTAACACATTATATTAGAATATAAACATTTCGCCTCCAAAAGCAAAACAAGCCATGTGCAAAGAGGTTGCATATTTAAGGAACAAAAAGGATGTGAGCCAGAGAACATATGAATTTTTATGCTGATATATCAGCAATGCTTCCGAAAGGCTTTCATTCTGCAGCCCTAGCCGAGGAGAGGCGCAGAGGGTTTCTATCCCTCCCTCTGCTCGTTTTCTGTTCCATCCCTCAGAACTGTACCTTGGAAAAGAAAGGTGGGGCAAAAAGTCTTCTTGAATACAAGCCCGCACCCAGTGACGGTATGCAACAGGCGAAGCAAAGGCGCCCCCTGTCCAAATCCAGTGGGCACCTGCCATCTCTCTACGCCCCTCACCCAATGACTCCTTTCTACCAACGGGCACATTATTTCTCCCGGAGTCTTTATGACTCTTTTCTTTTCCCTGCAGCTGGACAGTCTTCTAGTATCGCCTCCCACGGCCCAGGCATTACGCGGGTGATCCTGGATCTAGGACAGCTGGGAGCTCTGCTCCACAGCACACCCCTTTAGGTGCACGTGCTCCTCCTTCGTCCTTTACCTCTTGGGCGCAACAGGCCGGACAGCTGGAGCGACTGTATGCTGTAAAACGCGGCCCCGTTTGCAGCAGGTAGGCCCAGCTGATGCTCTGGCCAAGATTCTGAGACCATAGTTAAGGACATGGTAGAAATACAAAACCAGAAGAATTGCCATTCGTAGCCCTCAGTACAAAGCACAGGCCGGTTCCATTCTACCTTATGCTGTCCTGGTGCAAACCAAGGGCAGTGCCTGAAACTCAGTCAGTGCTCAGTTAACCTACAAAAGCCAGAGTCCAAGCCAGTGGTGGCAAAACTAAGAATCAAGCCGATTTAAACAGAATGATCCATGTATGACTGAAATGTGGGGTAGAGGGAGAGACTGAAAAAGGCAGTTTGAGCCCCTCCGCTACTCCACACCACCGAGCATCTGCCTCTCCCTCATCCCAGGAAAAGTCTGGAAAGTGTCCTCTGAAGAGAGTAAAATAATCTTTGCATTGGAAGTCTTTAAATTTATTTAATGGGGGAATATCTTTTACTCACAAGTGGAATATTAGATGAATGCATGACTAGTTAATACTAAATATAGAAACTACCAGCCACTCCACTCTACACCTGCGCTCCCAGAACCCTTACCTTCCAGTCAGGAGTCTGGAAGATGCTTCCCTGGAAAATGAAACAGTACCAGGGAAAGACTTTCTTTCCTTCAGCCAGTTTTAAGTCCTTAAGTCTGATTTCTAGAAAACACCAGAGACTGAAGGAAAGAAACGCTATGCTGTTAGAAAACCCCCCAGGGTCAGAGTACTAAGGTAACAGCTTATGCGACTATACGGACAGCCACTCACCAATGAGAAATCACGTTTAAAACACTCAAGTCTGACTTTTCTGCCGTCAGATGGATGCATCACAGTGGCGGCGACAGAGACGCCTTACTCCAACTGTGCACGAGCACCCGGGTGAAGCCCGCTCCAGGCCGCCGGGTTGGGCTCGATGAAGAACGAAACGGTCAGTGTGCCAAGGGGTGTGGGCCAAGGCTCAGGAACGGCTGCATCAAGTTTACAGAAGTAATTTTTCAAGCCCCTAATGCAGTTGTTTTGAGAAATTTTTCAAGTCTCTATTAGCCAACGCCAGAATTTCCAGGCCGTCTAATGATGTGCGTGTCCCGGCCGTGGCTAGAGCCCCCGGCTGCGGCACCAGCCGAACGTGCGGCCGTTCTTCCTGCCCGTCACTCCTCCAGTTCTTCGGTCTCCATCGTGCCACCGTCACGGTCACAATTTCTCAATAGTTCCCTACTTCTTACTTCTTAAAAAAACTGGCCATTTTCTAAGCCCTTTTCTAATCTATCACTTTCTTCATGCCCCTCTTAACTTCTTCCTATATTTATGTAATTTTCTAGAGTCTCCCAAGCGGGTCTGAGTCATACCCACCTCCTGGCCTCCCCCTTAGTGGGTTTTCTCACTTATATCATCTCAGCCCACAATCCAATCCCACGTCTTATTTACAGTCTTATAAAAACGTCACTTGCTCATACTTTTGTTCTCTGCTTACTCTGTCCCCCCGCCCCCTACCCGATAATCTGTCTGGTTTGAAATCCTAAGGCCGTCACAGCTAGAAGCATACAACACATTACATAATTATTGTTGTTCCTTCTAATGTGTCTGTCTGTCTGTTTCTGCCTTGGGGAAAGGACTGGGTCTTCTAGGTTTAACATGAGGTAAAGACGTGTAATAAAATGAGTAGGTACCCAGATTCTAAAGTTGGACCAATTGGAAGTCATTTCATTTGTGTGTCCTTGGGCAATGTATTTCACCTCTATGAATCTCACTTTCTTTAACAATAAAATGGACAATACAATAATCAAAATGTCCTGAAAATAAAAATGAGAAAACATAAATTCATCATAGTGTAGAACATAGTAAGCTTTTGTCAAAGTTTACCATGTTAGGCCTTGTATTAATAATAAAATAGCAGTTAAAGAAAATGAGAAAACAGCATTCAGTGACAATTTAGAAAAGATAATTTACTATTTACTTTTTTTTTTTTTAAAAAAAACCAGCTATTTCAAATCTATATGTGGGACAGAGAATGTACTAAAGTAGTCGACTACTTGTTTATAAATACTGCAGGGCCAGCTATGACCCCCATTTTCACAGGGCCCATTACAAACAAGCTAAAAACCTACAACGAAAAAATGTGACATGGGTGGAACTAAAAAATAGCCTATATAAAAATGCTCAATTTAATCCTCAGAAAAATATTTTAGTGTCTGAGAAAACTCTTGAAGAAAGAATTGGGAGTGAAAATGAAGTAAATAAAAAGGTTTCGTTTTAAAACAATTGAAGATGTATCACAATTTACATGAACTGAAATTAAACTAAATCAGGATTCAGTTCAAGTACAAAAGATAATCAGGGTCCAAAATTCAATTTTGTGACTCTGCCTTAACAGCTATTTGAACATACACTATTTCTGTTCTGTGGACACCTTTGGCAGTGACACCTGTAGATTGTGAGAATGTTGGGCTGTTTAGCTTTTGCAAAACATGAAATGTGTCTCTTTTGCGATGAGGTATCACTCTGTGGAGCTGTGAATTCTCTTCGAACACCCCAGCTGCAGAAGTTCTTTACCCTTCCATCTTCCTAACTTCATTTCCCTTCTTTCCCAGTCTGAACTCAATTATTTCAATATGTATTTTCTAGCAGTTTCAATTTTCTCATCCCAATTTCTTTTTATCACATACACACAATGTATAATTCTTTTGTGTATATTATTGTCATTACATTCAAACATATTTAGTTGCTGTTTCAGTAGCAAAAGATATCACTAATTTTGATGATACATAAATCACTACAACTAAAATTATGTAGCTACAGAAATCAACCATTCAGAGAGCTCTGATACAGATAATATGATTTACCAATTTCTTTGTAAAAGTAATATGTTCGTATGATATACAGAGAAGGTTCCTGAAGTAAGAGGGTATAGAGTGGATTCCAAAATTATTCCTTGACAGTTTATAAGAAACTGCCATATTTATTTACCCAAATCTCTAGAACGACACACCTAGAAATTTCTAATTTTATATTATTTGCTTTGTCCCTACCACTTGTATTTTAGCACCTGCCATTCAAAGAATCTTGAGATTTTATTAATGTGTCTAACCATTTTAAGTGCTACACATCACTCTCCACAGAATTACCTTGTGAAGTCTGTCATCTCCATCATGATCACACACATCTTCTTGGCCAGAACAATAATATCATTGCTTGTATCATCCCATATTTCAATCTCAGCATCCAGCTTACTCTTTACTTTCTTGAAATCAGCAACTTGCTCAGCAATCTTTTCCTTCTCTGCCTCAGGCAGTTGAGTCATCTTAGCCTAAAACGTGATAATTAGATTTGTAATTATTCCACTATGTCAAAAAGCATTTTAGGAAGAAGTGGTCATTACAGATCAGATTGTTCATAAAATTTTTTCATTTAAAAACAAATGTGGCTTTTGTGATATGTTAAAGAAGAGTAACTTTTACTGCTGCTGGCATATGGCAGGGCATGCAAATGAAGACACAGCTCACGTAGGTTTGAAATCAATCATATGCAAGCATATTAACTAAATTATAAGCTACTAATACATTAAACTAGCCCCAAAATAGAAATTAATTTTCTCTTTCTTGGTCACTGGTCACTATTATCTCCATTTTCATAAAATTGTTTTTATACTTTGAAATAATAGTAGCTGTAGATAGAGTCAATTGGGCCTATTTATTTATTTATTTATTTATTTATTTATTATAGTCTTTATCTCAGAGATAATAAAAAATCCATGACTCTGGATCTAAGGAATAATTCTGAAGTGTACACTGGTATATCATGGACAATTATTCACTATCATAATAAAATTAAAATTATTCAAGAGGTGATCTCAGTGTATTCCTAGTTCTGTTCCTTGGAATGCCACTGATTTCCAATACAACTTTGAAGAAGTCATTTAACCAACTTTTGAATTTTCCCAGGCACAAAATAATATAGTGGCAGCTGCTACCCACCAGCCACGCAGGAAACAGGCTCAATTATTGGGTAACATTGAGACTGACCCTGTCGTGAAGAGAAATCTCATCAACTGCACTAGATTTCCTTAATAACATCTCAATTTACATGGTGATTTACAACTGGTAGACATTTACTTTTGACAAGATAAGGCCAAAAGTTGGGCAATAGTTTATAAAACTAAAAGTTCTAGTAAATTTTGACTCTTTCTCACAGAAGGAATGACAACAATAAAGCATTAAATTGCTGACTAACGCCTTTACTGAAGATTCTTCGTGCTTCTGTGAATGATTTATTGTATGCTATCAATCAATTTCAATCATTATGAAAATTTCAAAATAGCACTTGAGGGAATACTTATAACTTGGGAATTCTGGATGAAAGTTCCTTATTGGATTGTTTTGTGCAGGTTAAGAAAAGAAACTGAGGTACAGGTTTTAGATCAATCGAGTAAGTGGATTCTCTAATGTTATGTATGACTGCCTGGCTATATGTCTCATTCCTGCTCAAATCTATAGAGTAGGACTCACATATAAACATCTATCAAAGGTTTTCTGAATCACTGCCATTTCAATGATATTATATTGTATGTCAAGTGATTTTGGTATTTGTTACAAAAGACAATGAAAATAGATAACGTTTATATATGCCAGACACTTTTCTAGGCACCTTACATATATTTAAACTTTAATCTTCATAGCAACCCTAATAATAGTATATCATTATCCTAATTTTATGGATTATGAAACTGAGTCTCCAAAGGGTAAGTTATCTTCTCAAGATTATAGTGTTAGTATATACTGTGCTCATGGATTAGAAGAATTAATATTATTGTTAAAATGCCCATACTACCCAAAGCAATCTATAGATTCAATGCACTCTCTATCAAAATACCAACTGAATTTTTCACAGAACCAGAACAAATATCCTTAATTTATAGAGAACCACAGAAGAACCCAAATAGTCAAAGCAATCTTGAGAAAGAAGAACAAAGCTAGAAGTATATACTCCCTGACTTCAAACTATATTACAAAGCTACAGTAATACAATGTGGTACTTGTGAGAGCCTAGAAACAAACCCAGGCTTATGTGGTCAATTAACCTATGACAAAGGAGTCGAGAATATACAATGCAGAAAAGACAGTCTCTTCAGTAAATAGTGTTAGGAATATTGGCAGATACATGCAAAAAAATTAAACAAACCACTTTCTTATACTATATATATAAATAAACTCAAAATGGATTAAAGACTTAAATGTAAGACCTAAAACCATAAACCTCCTAGAAGAAAACATAGGTTGTAAATTACTTAACATCAGTCTTAACAATAGTCTTGGATATGTCTCTGCAGGTAAGGGTAACAAAGGGAAAAATAAACTAAAGGGATTTCATCAGACTAAAAGCTTTTGCTCAGTAAAAAACCATCAACAAAAGAAAAAGAAAACCTACCAAATGGGAGGCAGTATTTGCAAATGATATATCCAATAGGGGATTAATATCCAAAATATATAAAGAGCTTATACAACTCAATATTAAAACACACACAAACAATCCAATTTAACAATGGGCACACATAGTAAATGTTTGTTTATAGCCATTAACAAAATAGTCAAGAGATAGATAGGCTTGTGGGATCAAAATTTTGTATGACTGATTTTGCATTTTCTTTGTCACCTACATTTATACATTTCCAAGCTTTAACCTCTACAGGATAGAAATTAATTTCTCCAATAAATTTTTTCTACTTTCAAACTCAATTTTTTCTACTTTCTTCATTATTTCTCTGAGACTATATTAATAGCACACATGATCTTTTCATCTTTGTTTTATCTACTTTTTTATTTCATTATGCTTATTACTACTACTTAAAATAGTGATATGATTACATTATTTTTTAACTTAAAACTTTCAATGATTTTCACTACTTCTTAAAACATACAAAGACAAGAACAAAGTGATATAATAGGAAAAATGCAAAAATTGTTGTCATACAGATTTCCATTCAAACTCCAGTTCTGCCAAGTACTCGCTGTGTAGCAAGTAAGTTAACCACCTTAAACTCCACGTGTCACATGTTAAAAGATGATAAAACTTTCTAGGGGTTTTCTGACAATTATAGTTAGGTCTGTAAACAATTATACCTAGAATAGTCAAAGCAATCTTGAGAAAGAAGAACAAAGAATACAAGGTGTCCCAAAAAATATATATATACACACTTTAACAGCTGATAGCTCAATTTTGAAAATGAAGTGCATGTTGATAAACACTGCATTTATAATTATTCCAAATGTGTGTATACATATTTTGGTATACTCTATATATTACGGACTTAGTAAATGGTACTTATGATTAGTGTACATAAATTAGCCTAGCCTCCAAGACTTTTCACAATATTGTGGGAAAGGACATTAAAAATATTCACTAAGCTTTATATGCCACATATGAGTGAAATCACATGGTTCTTGACTTTTAGTGAAGGGTAGAAGGGGTCCAATGTATGGTGACAGAAAGAGATTTGACTTTGGGTGATGGGCACACGATGCCATACACAGATGATGTAGCATAGAATTGTACACTTGAAACCTATATAATTTTATTAACCAAATCACCCAATAGATTTACTAAAAAAATATTCACCTAGGTAACTCACAGAGCTTAGGCAGAGACCAAGTAAAATATTATGAGTAAATACATTTCATGAGCAATAAACCACATAGAAATATAAGGTCATTATAATCATTTCATTCTCAGAAGTTCTGAAATCCAAATTGCTTATTTTTCAGATATGGAAACTGAGTCTCAGGAAAGAGAAATGATTTGGAAAATATTATACAGTTGGTCGGTGGCAGATTTGGTACTCAAGCCCATTTGTTACTATAGTAGTTCTCTCTTCCCACAAAATTGTTCTTTTTTACTCAGCTATAACTTTTTCATGGAAATTTAAGCAATCATATGCCTTACTTTCCCTATCCATAAACCTGGATGAAACACAGAAATAGGATTTTATTAATAAGTAAGCCACAATTATGCTTTTTAATTTTATAAATATTAGGAAATTCCTAATCAATTACTATTACTCATATCAGTAGGTAGCTAAACTCGGCATTCAGAATCAAATGCATGACGTATGCATACTGAATAAATATTTCTAAAGGAAGAATTCTTGTTCTTACCTCTGGTGTCAACTGAATTTAATAGTAGCATTTATGTGTGTTTTTAATAAGCCCAGAGGCATTTGGGAAATAATGTTTTTAATATGTCAAAAATATAAATAGTAGAACATTTTGCTGGAGTTTAGAAAATCTGAAGTGCTGCGGGCAGAAATTCAACTTAATTACAATTTGGAGAACAAATTCACCAAAAAGGTTTGCATGTTGATATTTTAAGCATATTAAAAAAAAAAAAAAAAAGCATACTAAATTGTCATTCCAAACACATTCCTGAAAATTCATTAAAAAGTTTTCCATAATATTTTTAAATGATATTCAGGACTTGCAACTGGACTTTGCTTTAAGGAGTGATATATGTTTCTACATTCTTATGCATAGTCCTTTAAATCAAATTTATAAGCATATTAGCTTTTAAAAGCTCTCTGTTTCCTCTTTTGCCAAAAAATAACAGTAAAAGCCTCATGGGCTTATATTCACAGATCCTTATTAGGTATGCAACTGTCTCATTTATTATAAAACTTTATAGGCTTCAGGGGCTGGGTCTAAACACAGAATTAGCTAGTAAATCATCAGGCTTCCTTGATTATTTAGCTTCTAATGGCAATAGTAATGTAATTATAATTAACATTGTTCATACTTCCCATATGCCAGTCACTTTGCTAAACACTTTTAAAAAATTATCCCATTTAAATAATACTCTCCTGAGGTAGATATTAATATTCACCTTCCACAACCATGCAAATGAAGCCTGTAGAAGATATATGCACATCTCCTATAAATGAAGACGGCCTTGGCCGATATTTTTTCCTTACATCATACCCCCTTGTTTATGGTTGCATTTCAATATAATTTTTAGCATTAAGGTTAATCTAAATCTTCAAAAGAAGAGCCATATAATATTTGTGAACCCAATATGTGTCCCTCTAGAAAAAAATAAAGACTAAAAGGCATTTGGGAGACAACTGGAAAATTTTGAATATAGACTGGATATTAGGTAAAATTAGGAAGTGATTGTTAAATTTCTTCAGTGTAATGACAAAATTGTGGTTGTATAAGAGACTTATTTTAGGAGACACTTGCTGAAATATTGAGGCATAAAATTTTATAATGTTGCAAATTACTTTGAAGTGGTTCAGAAAAAAAAAAAAGCCAATAT